GTTAAACTTGTTTTGTTGTCGAGTCTTGGACTTGACATGCTGTGCTAAGCGTGCCTGATCTGTACAGTCCAACACTTGCTGAAGAGTGGTCTGATCTAGACACATAGTTAGTTTCTGTTTAATGTGCTCTTCTTTGGCCTTCAAGGCCTCAGGCTCTAGAGCAATGTGGATATCCTAACTGAGCCTTCATGAAAGCAAAAAAGAACCCCAAACAGGACTCCAGTCAGCCATCAGGTGAAAAGGAGGAACCCAGACCAGTGGTCATTCCGTATGTTGAGGGAGTATCAGAGAAACTGAGATGTTTATTTTCAATAAAATCTTAAAATCAATCCAGAAGTGGACAGGACAGGGGTTATGTGAACAAGTTTTTTAGTTGCTGTTAAAAGACAAGCTGTTAGTTCTGGACAGATTGTAAGCGATGCAAAGATGATTTATCTAAACCAACATACAATGAATTACAATAGTCCAAACGAGAGGTAATAAAAGCATGAATCACCTTGGCAATGAGTCTTAGTTGGAAGAAACTGGATTTCACAACTGCATTTATCCGTTTGTCTAATTTAAAAGTTCTATTAAAAATAACTCCCAGGTTCCTGACAGTGGAGTGGCTGTATGAGGCCAAGGGGCCAAGTGTGAAGGGTGTTACATTTACCAAACTGATGACTTCTGCTTTATTTTCATTTAAATTCAGGAAATGTAGTTTTAAACAGACTTTAATGTTGTTTAGACGGTTCAAGAGTACTATCAAGCTGAGAATTTTACATCTGGATGTAAGAGCAGTCATGTTTCTACACAGAAGCTAAGAGCATTAACCATCAGACTACCCTTGACTTTACTCTGAGACAACATTTACAGAATATTCCTGCAAACAGGACCTGTCGCATTAAGAACGTACGGTAATTTGGAACAGGGAGGAGTGGACTGTGCACATATCTATTTAATCAGAAATAAAAGGAATATCCAGCACCACACAACTTTAACGCACAACTTTAATGTTCAACTCTGTAAAAATGTCCAAAATGTTAAAGGTTTATTTGAGACAATTCAAAGTGGAATGTAGTGGAAAAGATATCCCAGTATGACAGGACTGAGGAGCTAATGGCTAGTCCAAACAAGACTAAAGGGGATTCCTGCTATTTTAGAACACCACCAAGCACCAGAATGTCACAGCAGTTCATGTAAATATTATTTACACTACTGTCAGGTTTGCAGTACAGTTACTCACATTGTAAATAAAATAGTTTTCAAAATACGGTCATACAGCTTGTTGGTCACTTGGCCGCAGGCACCGACCATTTAGAGGAACTGGAGTGGAAAAGTTATTTTTTCCACTCATAATTTTGACCCTCCAACAGTCTCAGCCTGTTCCTGGCCTAAAGCAAATCCAGCAGGAGTTTCACCACATTTATGTTGAATTAAACACGTAACATGAATATGACACATAGCATCTGCATGAAACGCTGACAGTTTGAAGATGAAAGCTGTTTGAGGGCGGCAGCAATCCACTCTGCTCTTGACCCCACTCAGACTAGCCATGAGCTCATCAGTCGATGAGCGATGTCCAAACTGAAGGCTGCTCAAAGAGCCATGTAAAACAGGTGAGACACTCACTTTAAAACAGCTCTTTAAATCTAGTCAGGAATCTCTACCTTTCCCGTGCCTCAGGTTTGCTTGCCACTCCACACCCATCTTCCCATGGGTCATCCAGCTGAAATCCAGTTTGGAGTCTGTAAATGTGAGATTTTTGTTTCTTGAGGCGTCCTCCTCCTCCTCATCATCATCATCATCTGTCTGGACTCTGTCCTCTGTGACACTCAGCTCAGTGGGGGGCTGCAGCTCCTCCTGTTTGCCACACTCTGTTACATCTGTTCCTTCTTCTACACAAGTCTGATTCGATGTGTCCCGACCAGCATCAATGTGCAAATGATGTTCTGCCAACGTTGACTTTGTCCCTTCGTACCAGTGTTCCTCCTCTTCTGTCTGCCCTTCATCCTCTCGTTCTGGTTTTGTGTCAGAGATGCTGATCTCTTCCAGAGCGTCCTTTCCACAGCGCACTATGTTAGCAACAACAACAAGTGTGTTGCTCTCTGTCGGACACACTGAAGGCCCACTTACATCTGGCTCGTGTGGAGCTTCAGAGTCAAACTCGCCAAAGCTGCAGAATGACGGGCAGTCCTCGTCATCATCTTTAGTCTCAGACAGATCTGCTCGGCTGTCTTGGTCGAACTCAGTTATAGTGTAGCTGTCCTTGTGGTCCCCTACTTCCTGTTCCTCCGCTCTAAGTGTGCCATATCCAGAGGTCATCAGACTTGGTGCTGGACTACCAGAACTGCTAACTTCATCATTGTTGCTTCCTTCCAGAACCTCTCCAGTAAATCTCATCTGGCTGTTCAGCTCCTGGGTTTTCTCCCCTGAAATCCCCTGAAGCGCACCGAATGGAGAGGTGACAGGTTTGGAGTTAATCACCACCTCCTCCTCTTCTTCTTCTTCTCCACCTTCACCATCAGACCAAAAGGAGGAGTTGAGAGAATTATTGTCATCATCAGTGTCTTCATCCCACTGATTATTATAAATCTTGTACATGTGGAAACTCTGAGGTGTGCAGTGTGGGTCAGGCGAAGGCAGATGGCTTCAGGAAGGAGCTAAGAGGATTAAGATGATACCAGGAGCCTCAAAGGCAAGTAGGTATCTCTGCAGACAAATTCAGAAGGCGTATCTGGAGGGTCACACATGACTGGACGATAGTAAATGGGCGTGTCTGGAGGGTCACACCTGATTGGACAAAAAAAGGCTGAACAAAAATAAAAGGTGTTTGTGTTAACCACAGATCTATTATGTCTACGGTGTTAACCGGTTCAACTTTAGCGGCGTCTCCATAACTTTTCTTTCCGCCTCTCAACACAGAACTTCAGGTTACATTTCAAAATAAGAGCAACATAACTGGGTAGTGTGGAGGGCTAAATGTTTGTTTTTTAATACCTAGCCATTATATTAAAAAACAAAATCTGTTTTGGTTTTTGAATAATGTGAAAATAGTTACAATCAACTCATAAATAAAGAAAAATAAAGTAACTAAAATAATAATGATACTTAAACTGGCCTTTGGACAAAGGATGTTTCCTTTAACTTCATATTTTCTTGTTCATCTTTTAAATCAGTCACTGCAGATGAGTGATGGTCAGTTTCTGCACCTGGAGCAGGTAGTTCTGTTTACTGGTTAACTTCCTCAGCTGTCTCTGGTTTTAAGGGTCAACCCTACTCCATGTT